GTACATGTTCAGATGCTGGAGGTCGACAAGATGGATTGTTGTGGTACAGAGACTCGGGGCAGCACTTGAGCGGTGACTTTTCAATGGCCGTGGTCCAAGCCAATAACTTGCTGGAGGATCAGAGCCAGATTGAATCGGGCAGTTTGAGCACCAGTGAATCTGGTCCTTATGGTACCTTTGTTGGTGTTTATGATGGACATGGAGGCCCTGAGACATCACGGTTTGTTAATGATAACCTCTTTCACCATCTTAAGAGTAAGTGACATCTAGAGGACTGAATTCGTAAAGCTTCTACTTTTGTTATGGTCTACAATTGTCACTTTACTGTATTTCCTGCTGCCTTCCTTTTCAAATCTTTTCGTTGCTATAATCTGTTATTGCTTTTGACTGGACATGGTACATAGAGAGGATACCGTCTGATAAATATGATATGTCCAGGGGAAGAGAAGCAATCGTCTAGTCCATTTCTGTGTTTTAATCTAGATCTTGTTGAGTTACAATGTTTCTAGAACAGAAGTTGTCTATTCTGCTGCTTGAGACAAAAGCTTTGTTGCTTCAGCGGAACCAAGTTGTTGTCTATTTTGAGCCTTTTTAATGGAACAGAAAATTATGTTTTCTGTGCTTGTTTTGATTTCTGTTTAGCAGTTGACCAGTGAAACCACCAAAGTGGTGTCAATAAGTGATCAATTGTTTTTTCCTTTTCATTACTTAATTTGTTTTTCTGAACCAGTCTAACCAATAAAGCATGGGTGAGGATCTTGTTTCTGGGTGGTGGCAGTGAGTATTTTTCACTGTAGTTTATTTTATGTTTCCATCATTCTATCACTTATAAAATTAAGTAAACCTGAAAGTATGAAAAGCGAGTGGTGTGCACTGACTTGATGCTGTGGGAATGGTGTATCATACTTGAGGAGTTTATGTAGCAGTAGTTTGTGGATTCGGCTTATGGTGACTGTTCTTCCATATGTTTGTTGATAAAAAATCATCTTGCTCTACTTTTAATTGCAGGGTTTGCTGCGGAGCAGCAATCAATGTCAGTTGATGTAATTCGCAAGGCACTTCAAGCTACAGAAGAGGGATTTATGTCTCTTGTTGCCAGACAGTGGCCAATGAAACCACAAATCGCAGCTGTTGGGTCATGCTGTCTAGTTGGTGTTATTTGTAATGGAACCCTTTATGTAGCTAATCTTGGTGATTCAAGAGCTGTTTTGGGAAGAGTGGTCAAGGCAACTGGGGACGTACTAGCTTTGCAACTGTCAACGGAGCACAATGTGGGGATAGAGTCTGTAAGACAGGAGCTGCATTCTTTGCACCCTGATGACAAACAGATTGTTGTTTTGAAGCATAATGTATGGCGTGTGAAGGGCCTTATACAAGTAAGTCATTTGTAGCTCATAATAATAGTTTTCTTGTGTCTAGAGCTAATCAAGTACCTGCTTTTGCTGCATGATGTACAATTGTACATTTAGATACACATTAGAGTGGCAGCTCAAGACTACATTCTTGAAGTTATGTGAGCAGAAATACTAGTATTACCTGACCTAATGTAATTTTTTTAATTGAAATTAATACTAATATATATGTCTTCAGGGCCTTTTGTTTTCTGGTTCCCAAAGCCATATATTAGCACATTGATAAAATATAAAATATAAAATATAATATTAGAAAAATAAGTTAAAATGCATTTGGGAGAGTGGGGATTTAAAATAATTTCCCACTAATTCCTCTCATTCTTCTTAACGGAAAAAAGTAATACGATTTAACCTGCTGCCTAGTAAAGTATATTTGGAAAAGAACTTGATTTATGTAAGTTAAACCCCTATATTGAGATGCTTTAGATGGTGTTATTTGAAATTTTGTTATTAATTCTTTTGCGTCTTCATTCATTTTGTTTTTTTCCCCTGGACTTAAATCATGTCCAATCCTTGCCATGGTCCTTACAGATGATCTAAAGTCTTTAAACTTTGCAGGTTTCAAGATCTATTGGTGACGTTTATTTGAAAAAGGCCGAGTTCAATAGAGAACCTCTATATGCTAAGTTTCGACTTCGGGAGCCATTCAAGAGGCCAATACTGAGTTCAGAACCATCAATATCAGTGACCCAATTGCAGCCACATGATCAATTTATTATATTTGCATCTGATGGGCTCTGGGAGCACCTTAGCAATCAAGATGCAGTTGATATAGTTAAAAATAATCCTCATAGGGTAAGAATCACATTTCAATCTGCGCCAGATTTAATAGTTGAATCATGGTCATGCGATGCTGCAGACCTGACTAGGTTCCCCGCCCCCAAAATGGTTGGTGTTGATTGTTCCGTTATCGTGATCTGTTGCATGTTTCACAACTTGTATTTTGCCTATGGGGAGAATTTGTGGGGGAGATTATTTTAGCATAAACCATCGATGTTGCAAGTTAGAGCACATTCAATGAGATGAGGGCAAATGCATATTCATCATGAAGTTGCCTGTCTTTAGGGAAGGAAATTGAATGGTCGTTCCCTTTACTTGTCCGGAAATATTTTTGGTGTGCCCACCTATACATTGTTTGAGCATGTTACATTTGCAACGGATAGAAGCTGTCAAAGTTGTTAATCTGCCTCAAGTGGAAACAGAATTTTATTAAGTAGTGGATTCGTACCCACCATGTATTCCATTAAGCAAATACTTAGACACTGTCTCTGAATGCAGAGACGGATTCTGGATGACAAATGCCATAGTGAAGGGGAGTTCATTTTGGCAGATACAGAGGGAAATCTCTTGAGATCTAATGGTCTTGCCATATTTAGGCTCGAAAGTTTTATTCTTTGATTCTACCTGAAAAAGTTGTATCCAATGATCTTCATGAAGAAATCCTATTGAGTTATTGTTATTGTCATTTGACATCATACATTACTGATATGCTGATATTAATTGATTTCTAATCCGATTGACAGTCCTTATATGTATATTTTTGAAACTTGATATGAGCTGCTGATGCATGGCAGGCAGAAAACATGGCACAAAATGGATTAATGCTTAATCTGCTATCTCTCTTTCTGCTATCTCTCTTTCAGGGAAGTGCGAGGAGGCTGGTGAAAGCTGCCCTTCAAGAAGCAGCAAAGAAGAGAGAAATGAGATATTCAGACCTAAAGAAGATTGATCGTGGGGTTCGTCGACATTTCCATGATGATATAACTGTGATTGTTGTGTTCCTGGATTCGAATATCCTGAGTAAGGCAAGCTTTGTGAGGTTCAATAGTATATCTGTTAGAGGTGGTGGCATCAACTTGCCTCCTAACACACTGGCACCTTGTATGACACCAGCAGAGACTGGTGGTACCTGATTTAAGTTGTATCATACCTTTCTATGTTGTATCATTCTCTTGTGTGAATACCAGGCGTCTTCAAATAGCAATGAGAGAGTCCGGTCAAAAAAAAAAAAAAAGCAATGAGAGAGGAGCAGAACTTTAATTCTTTAAAGCTTGGTTTGGATAGGGAGAAAAATGGGAGGAAAAAAAGGAGAAGAGAATACTACGAGAAAAACTTTCAAAAATAGTATAAAAATTTACTATTTTTGAAAATTTCCTCTTCATATTTTTTTTTAAAATAATCCAAACCAGTAGTAAATGCGAAATCGTAACTTACTAGAATAGCACTCCTCCGGGAGTAATACTTATGTTACCCCTTCTTCCAACATACTAAAAGAACAATGGGGATCTTCCCATGACCATGATATAAGTTGTGTTTGTGCCAAGCTTATTCTCTTCACGATTTCCTTTTCTTTGAGCTATTGTCTGTTTTGCGGGAAACAGCTCGAGAATTATTTTTTTAATGCCCTTCTTCAAGTAAGAGGAAGGAGAGTATAGTATGTTTCAAAATATATTTGGTATGGTTATAAAATAGATGTAACCCTGAAATTACTTTTATTTGATTGGTGTATATAGTAATATGCAAATATCATAATATTACTATAAAAATTTAACAAGTTCTAGATATTAGTCTGGTTTCGCGCTTATGGCTCACACTGGTGATGCAAAGCCACGAGAAACTGATTTAATTGTCGAAACAAAGTAAAAAACGAAATATATGTTTGTTTGAAATCATAATTTTGGTAGTAAAATACACTCTAAAGCTAGCATGATTTACGCCAATTTAAAAAGGTATTTTAATTTTGTATTAAATGGATATGGAAAATATTTTACTAACTAAAATAGTATAAGCTAAATAAATTTAGACGTTCTCCTAGACCTGATAAATTAAGGATTTTTTTTATAATGACAAAATTGTCTATTCTTGATTATTACAAACAATTATTTTAGTTTCCCATAAACAAATAATTATTTTATTGTGAGAAGTATGAACGTCTCTTTACAAATTAAGGAAATTAAAACTTAAAATGTTTTTCCAAATTAGTAACTAGTGATATGTATACAAATATTATTTAATGATTGAAAAACTGAGATGAATAAGCTCGGACAACCAAATGCTATGCTAAATCCTAAATGTGCCTCAGCCCTCAAGCACCATAACCACGGTTGTTCCAGAGAAGCAAAATGGAAGAGCTGATTGTGCGTGTACGTGTGTGCGCTACACCAATTGTGACGAGTCCCCCCCCCCCCCCCCCCCCCCAAAAAAAAAAAAAAAGGCCAGCTATATTAAGAAAATAAAACAGTTACGTAGTACATGACCCAAGTAACGACTAACTCGATTGAATTCAAAAGGAGAAAAACATGCTTTAAAATTAAAGACACCTACACAAGACACTTGAAACACACACAAGGTAATACTACCCTGAGACATGAAATCCACAAACTCATAACCACACTAAATATAGAAGCCTACATGAATTGTTTTGATGTATTATACATATATAAACTTACAACCCGTAAATTATTCTGTATTAACATTACCGCATTACTTTTAGGGATATCACATGGCAGTAGCAAACTTTAGGCTCGGTAGAATCATAGGACAATGACTCTGGGGAGTAGCAACTGCACGATATTTTGTCAGCGAAAGTGAACATGTAATGATGAAAAATGCCTTTGAAGGAAAGAGTTTTTTACTCGTTATTATTGTACAAGTGCGTATTTTACCCAAGACTAGCTACCACATTCTGTTTCGGAGTTTGAAAGATAAAGCAACGATTCTAAATTAGAAGGAAAAAAGAGAAACGCGGCATCACATTTCGATATATGAACACTGCGTTCTCCCTGACTACCGTAGGTACAGGGAAACCAAGAATTGAGAGAGAACAATGATTTCACTTACAACAGTAGCAGGGAAGTGTATGCCTAGAAATGGGACAACATCTACATGCAACCAGCTCTCTACAACTGACCCTACTGCTGCACCTGCTATGAGCCCTCCTATGCTTATAACAGTGGCCTTCCCTGCAAGCGTTACAAGCACAAAATCCTTATAGATTTTGCATTTTAACTTCACAAGCGCAAAGCAGAGGGAGAATAGAACATTAAACAATCTATTCAACTTAGGTGAAAGTCTGTACACGCTTCAGTGAGTTTAAGCTTTGGCTTATTGAAGTAAATACGAACATGTTACTCAATAAGAGACTTCTATTTGCTTTCGCAAACGCATGCCAAGTAAGATCTCTGAGTTAGTAACATGACCTATTTAAAATTAAACGTATTGATTCACTTGAAACCAAAACTTGAACAAACCAGAACGTGTACAAGGAAGTTCCTTACCCAACTTTACATTCTTTTTGGTCATAAAGTACAAGGAAGCTCCAAAGCTACCAGCCAAAATGAGTCCAGGAACATCAGCTGCAGCATATGATGCAGCGGATGTAGAAGCATCATTAATATAGGCTAAACCCATCAAAGCACCGTAAACTCCAGCTTGTACACCTAAAGCACTAGTTGAGGGAGTCTCTACTGAAACTGATGAATTCTTTATTGTAGTTTGGAACCATTGAGGTATTGACCCCAAACCAGATGGCTTCACAGGTTTGACATCAGCATAACGAATTTTACTATCCACTACTTTTCCTGTTCGCCGTTGAGTTAGGCTCTGCATAAGTAACATGTCATACGCAGCCTCGACCTAGAAGAAATTAAGCAATCACACCAATCAACAAGGGAACGGAGTTTATCTAGAACTCAAAAGTAGTAAAGCACATATTTGGAACACGAGATAATGATGCATGACCCTGATGACCAGCTTGATTCACCACCCAAGTCAAATACCCTATATATTTCCATGATTAAAAATCAATCATTCAGAAAATGTTATTGGCGACATCTACAAACATTAATGGTTATTCTTCAGTTTTCAATCTAATTCAAACATTATACATTACACAGAAAAAAGAAGTATCAAGCCTAATAAGAAGTACAGATGATGACACGATAGGAGGCACAACTCGACACGACACGACACGGATACGGCAATATAACAGAATATGCCGTGTCCGCTATCGAGCCGCCTTGAACTTTGAGGTATATACATTTATTGAACACGATCACTTTTGAAGATAAGTCAGCATGGAGCACCAAGGCTTCCAATTCCCTCGTGTGTAGAATCAGAGAACCCAACATCAACTACAACGACTGACCTCTAACCCATCTCAGAACCAAAATTCAATTTGAAGCTTCTAATCTGGATTTACTGTTGGAAGCAAGTTCGCCTTAAAGCAAGACCCAAAAACAAAACTTTATTGTTCTGTGAGGGCACCCCTCAATCCAAGTTCCCCTTTTAGACTAATAATCTTGACAGTAATTTATTTAATCTGCAGGCGAACGTCTGAATGCAGATGAGGGGCCATCATTAAATACTATGAGGATGAATGGAATCCAGATTACGTTCAAATTCTCTAAAATTAAAGAAAGAGTGAAATAGGAAGAGCAGGATAAGCAAACCTGCGCAACCGCTTCCTGGTCATCCTGACAAGTGGCGAGGATGGATTTCTTGGCGCGGAGTATGTCGTCGAAGGAAGCTCCCTCAGAGACTCCGAGAAGCTTCAGTGCGTTTTCTACAGACATCTGCAACGGCGCCGACTCGTCGTCGGCTCCCGAGCCGGCTTGAACCCGTGAGACAGTCCTCAATAGCGTACGCCTAGAGTGTACCAGCGCCCCCCGCCACGGTTCCTTTGCAATAGACTTTCCAATCGGAGCTGCCTCGAGCACTCGAACCGGCGGTCTAGTGAAGGCTGAACCAGGGGAGAGACGCTCGGGGTGAACGGAAAGGGTGGCAGCCATCTCTCAGAAAAACGAAGAGCTTGGGCCACAGAGGGTAACGAGTAATTTTAACGGTGAGTAACAACATAAAGCGCCAAATTTTGACGTAACTTGAGAACTGTATCTAACCATTGGGTTTGAAAGTAGACCAGTAAGTTTTCACCTGAGGAGGTCCGTCGACGCAAAAAAAATCAATGACAACGTCATACTCAACTTTTTCCCCCTTTTAACAATTTTTTTTTTTTAAATTCTCCTCATGCTCGATTGATCGATTAGATAGATACTTACTGGCAATTCAAGCTGTAAATTTAATTACAGTAATCGAACCAGAAACGATCCTCTTTGAATATTGCGACCACCACAGCTATACAGTACACACTGACACCCTCCTTCAAGAGCCACAGAAACGACAGTATAAATATTTGGCGACTACATGACGAAACTAACCAATGTGATGAATGGTGGTGGACAAGCCAACAGGAAAACCGCCTGGCAAGAAGAAGTAATATATTTATGGCTGAGGTATATGGGATACTAGTGCGCTGGTAATAGCATCCATTAATAACCACAGATCGGTATCATTATAGCTGCTGATTATTATTAATTTTGTGTCTTCCCGGCTTATCATAACCGGTCGCTGAAAGTCGTTGCACATAATAGTCGAATCATGCTTGCTTGCGGAAGGATCGCATTTCCACCGTGCTTACCAAACGCTAGGAGGAACCCAAGAGTGTTTCGTTGCGGAGCTGAACCTCTACTAGGCTATTCCGATGGAGGACACAGTGGCAAAAAAAAAGTAGTAGTCGTTGGTTCTGGCTGGGCTGGTCTTGGAGCTGCTCATCACCTTTGTAATCAGGTCTTTTTTTTTTTGGGATTACAAAGGCAAGCTCACGCTTGAGATAGACAAAAAGAAACAAGCAAAAACATCATCAGTTTGGAGGGTCACGCTTGAGGTTTCTTTAATCGTTCTATTGGATTCTGTTTCAGGGTTTCGACGTCACCGTTCTTGAAGGAGACAAGGGTTTTGGATATCCTGACACTACAGCAGTCCGGGGTAATTCTTCTTCTTTCAGGTTATAGAAGAAAAACGAGAAGACTAAATTTTAAATTCTTTCCGCATCTTGTTCTACAAAATTGGCGACTAAATTGTGCAGTTTATGACGGTTTTAGTGTTCTACCGATACTCCGTGAATTACTTACTATCTACATTTTGGAAAGAATGCCGATGAAGTTGAAATGAGTATTCATTTTAGGATAGAGGACAATAAATTTCTTCCTCTGTATTTAACGCTTTCAAAGCACTCATTTTCCTTCTCAAAAGACCATTGATCTCACTTTTGATTATGTTTGCCACGACTTAGATGGTCACTGAATTTATTTATTTATTTTCTTCTAGGTTATTATCGAGCCTTTCGGAACATATTTAGCCTCGTTGATGAGTTGGGCATTAAGCCCTTCACAAATTGGACAAAATCTGCACAATATTCTGAACAGGGACTGGAGGTAACTATGATGCTATACAATTACATACATTATCCACCATTTTTTTTAGTGATAACATTATCCATCACTTAGTACGCTTCCGCTTCTGTACCTCCTCTGTTTCTGTTGGATAAATGCCCTCTCGAATGACTTAAGAGAAACTGTATCTACTTGCAGGTAGAATTCCCAATATTTCAAGATTTGCCTCAATTGCCTGCTCCATTGGGAACCTTGTACTACAGCCAAGTATGAAGCTTTTTCAGCCTCATCTGTCATTTTCTTAGAGTTGCTATCCTCATATGTGAATTACTTTGTTTGCAGTTCTTTCGGCTTCCTTTGTTGGATAGGTTGACATTTCTACCCTTAATGGTTGCAGGTAAATATCCATGAAGTGTCTTTTCATTTGACCTGCACTATTGGAATTTGAAAAAAGTGAAATGGCTAGGGATTTATATCCTCCTGCATATTTGGGTAATTATGTATAGATATACCTGCTAAAAGCCTATAATTACTTCAGTCATTATTCATACTTCTATATCTATAATGTAAGTTTCATTTAGTAGAATTGGGATCAAATAGCTTGGCATGTTGGGCAAATTTTGGTTATCACCATCTTTTCTTCAGCTAGATGTGGCTTCTTCCGCATAAATTGAGTTGGAAGGGGAGTAATACTGTTTGGATGTTCAGATGTATGAAAACGTAGCTTCTCATATATTTATACCGTCGGTAGTTGTTTAGTGCTGAAAGGGGATGCCTTGATTATTTTTCCATATACGTTTTACAAAAAATACTACAAATACATAGCTCCTCTGTGAAACCAATTAAACTTTCCCATAATAAGTATGTACGAATGCGAGCTTTTCAATTCTTCTGGGCCGTGGGGGAGGTAACTGAGAGACATAAAACCTTAAGAATTACCATTTTATCTTCGCTTCGGCTTGAATAGATGAAACTCAATTGATATGTTTCTAACTTTCCATTGACATGGTCATGATTTAACAGAAAACTTCTTTCTTAAAAAGTCAGTATTAGTTTATCTATCCCTATGTTTTTGTTCAATCTACCTCCCGACACATAATTGTTTTTTCCAATGAGCAGAACGGAATTGCTTTTCATCCAATTCATATTTCCACTTCATTATCCTTGAAAATTTACTGACAAAGCATTCTTATTCCAGTGATTGACTTTGAAACCGACACAGCCTGGAGGAAATACGATTCAAGTAAGCTTTTTTCAAATTCAAGAGAATCAGCTAATTTGACAAGCGACTCATTGGGATGTTCAAATTGGTAGTTACTGCAAGGGAGCTTTTCAAACATTTTGGCTGCTCAGAAAGGCTTTATCGGGATATACTAGGCCCGTTGGTTCATGTGGGTCTTTTTGCTCCAGCAGCAAGCATGTAGTGCTGCTGCAGTGCTGGGACTGCTAAATTATTATCCTTGCTCACCAGGTTCGTAGTTGCAGTTTGATGCTTTGGTTATTCCCTGCAGCATATCAAGAAATTTGGTAAATCCTACTCTCCTAGTTTGCAAGAGATTTGAGCAACAAAGACATCCAGAAAAAGTTAGGAAATAATTGTTTTTTTTAAATAGGAGAAGCAGCTAAAAAGAAATGTCAAAGACATAGGAAATGTTTTCCCTTGTGTTTTTATAATTTTTTTGGCTAATTTGAAACGTGGCTCATGAAAATTTTTTTTATAATCCACCTTCTGTTTGAGGAGCCTATGGGTCACTAATAAATGTAAAATAACATCAAGAGAGCACACTTGTAATTGGACTAGGCAATGAGTACATTTTAAACATAATATATTCAATTTCTATTGTTCTCAAATCACTCGTTCTGCAGTGCACATTGCCATTGCACTTGTTTTACGTTTTATCTACCCTGACATTTACTTTCTTAGAATGCCTGAATAAGTTTATCTACTTTGTGGAGCCAGAAAGATTTTGACATGGCATGGCCTCGGGGAGCTGTAAAAGAAAAAACTTTTTGAGCCATGGATGGATTCCTAAGAGCTAAGGGCTGTAAATTTGTGGAAGATAGTAAAGTGACAGATTTACGTCGTGATGAGGAAACAGGTTGTGTTTAGAGGTAGTTTGTGGCAGATGACACTACAAAGCTGATGCGGTGATTATGGCAGTGGCAATTTCTGGTCTACAAGAGATTATAAAGGGCAGGTATGCTGTTTCTGAATTTGGTAGCTTATAATCATTTATTGATAGTCATATACTAATCTTGCAATTAGCTTCAAGCCTTTAATTTCTATATAGCAATTTTTAGTGTATTGACATAATGTTATGAAGGCTCTGAACCTGTGCTTGTTTTTTTACGGCTACTCGTATACACCTGTTAAATGACCTTACAAAAGTGGATTCAAATTTTTTCTGCTTGTTATTTTTAGCATTTCACAGAAGTAAACCCACTTACTGATTTTTCTTCCTGCCCTTCTTAATTGGCTACTACCTTTTCTTTTAGCCCAACATTATGTTCACAGGGAGGACTTTCTGAGGTTCTGAACTTGGGAAGCATTGATGTTCTCAGTGTTAAACTTTGGCTTGACCAGAGGTTTGGGATAATAAAACCTTTTCGATTGTAATACTTTCATGCACTAATCAGACATGGCTCAAAACACTGTCCATCTTTCTTAGAGGAACCAGATCATCTCTGTTACTTATTTTTCTAACATAGTTAAAACTGGTGCCACAGCTCAAATAAATGATGGTATACCTTGCATTGTTGTTGTCCGTTCTAGTATCATCTGTAGCTTCTGGCAGGTCTTCTGAATTGTACCAACTGGTTTGTTGGCCAGTATGCCCTGATTTTTTGTTGTCAAATCCTTGTTTACCAGGTAAAGATTCCAGCTGCGAGCAATGCTTGCTCTGGATTTGAGACTCATTTGCATGGACATTCTTTGACTTGAATGTCATTCAAGATGAGCATCAAAGTGATTCTATGACAGTTTTGCAAGCTGACTTTGTAAGTGTTTTCAGTTCTGTTTTTCTCATCAGATGCTAAGCTACTTCCTACCTCTACTTCAGGCACAAAGATTACTTCTGTGTGTGGATGTTCTTACGGATCTATTGGCCAGTATGCCCCTGATTTTTGTTGTCAAATCCTTGTTTACCAGGTAAAGATTCCAGCTGCGAGCAATGCTTGCTCTGGATTTGACAACTCATTTGCATGGACATTCTTTGACTTGAATGTCATTCAAGATGAGCATCAAAGTGATTCTATGACAGTTTTGCAAGCTGACTTTGTAAGTGTTCAGTTCTGTTTTTCTCTCATCAGATGCTAAGCTACTTCCTACCTCTACTTCAGGCACAAAGATTACTTCTGTGTGTGGATGTTCTTACGGATCTAATTACATGACATGATTGATTGTGGTAGTATTATGCAAATGAGTTGTTGCCGCTGAAGGATGAGCAGATGGTTGTCAAATTGAAGTCCTACCTCTCCAATTGTATTAGAGAATTTGAGAATGCTAGCGTGGTTGAGAAAGAGATTGGTAGATATCCCAAATCTTTGACCCACTTCTTCCCAGGTACAACGTGATTAGTGTGTGTGTGGTCCTTGTTCTAATGGGTGGATTTGAAGTTTAGTTGTTCCAACTTACATACATAATCCGTCTAACCGTTCATCATAAAAGACATATCTAGGGCTGGTTTGGATCTCCGTTTTGGAGAG